ACGGTTGACTGTGGGGTGGCGGCGCTCTACCTTTGAACAGCCAAGCCTTATATAGTCGCCTATGTACAAGTCGAGAGCTATTATCTAGTAGCTGTGCGTTCACGACCACAGCTCCGTGCTGACTGACTTGTGTGTTCGCAAGTCACATCTGTTATAGCTGGTGCTCTTCGTGTTGCTGAGTCGTATGGCTACATGTTGCGTTGCTATGGTGACGGTGTCACCAGGGAGTGTTGATACGGTCCCTTATGTTAGCTGGCCGTGTTGATGACGCTGCTGTAGTTGTTGTTGTTGCTGTTGTAGTCGTTGCTGCTGGTGTAGGGGGGCGGCGTTCGTGTGGGCTAAATTCCGTGGATATTTAGTCCTCACAAGTTAGTCAACAAACAAAGAATACAAAATTTGTATATACTATTTACATACATACAGTGGTCGAAAAAATTTTAGTCGCACCAAATTTTGCCAAGTTTTCACTTTTTTTTGGTTATTTTATTTTAGTTATTTTTTTTATAAATATATAGTTCATTCTTTAACGTAAACCGTATATATCCAGGTTTCAAACTTCGTGCAATATTTAAAAAAGAAAAACTAGTAAATATATCGACCTTTTCATTCGATTTTCTAGAAAGATTTTGAGTGTGCAATTTCGTAACTCACTCAATTTTAGTTGAAGCTTCATCAAGTGGCTAACAATTTTCGTTTTAGAATTTTTTTGTAGAAGTTTTTGCGGTTTTCTTCCATATAAAAATAAATTGTTTTTATTCGTTATATAAAAGCAAATGCGACAAAGAAATTTCCAAAAAAATAAACGGTAATTTTTAACCATTTGAAATTTTGTTGTACTAGCATTCAACGAGCTGAAATTCCCCACAAAAAAAGGTCCATTCCCCGATTCCCCACGCTAACTGAAAATTCCCAGCAAATCGCGGAATTCCCCTCGAGTTGGCGTCCCTGGTATATTTGTGTATGTTTAAACAACGACGTGGACCGTGAAGATCGGAGACGTCATCGGTGTTCGTTTGTAAAGACGATGTGTGTGCCAAGGAAAACATATAATTTTCGACAACATTGTTTTAAGTTGGTCTTGGAGTTGCCATTGAAGTTGTCGCCGTAGCTGATAGCTAACGTTTATAGTTGTCGTTCGTTGTGCTTATACATAACTATAAAAAGTTGTTACACGTTTACAACTCAAAAGAGTTTTAACGGTCATTAGTTGTTGATAATCCGCGAATAAAAAGTGCAAATAATTATAAACATTTTATCATTATTACTGTAGACGGATTACATTTCCTTCATGATTGATTCAGTTGAATCGGTAACAATCAAATTTAAAAGCTCACATACATACATACTACATACATATAATCATACAAACGGATATATGATCGTATATGTACGTATAGATTGATATATTTCGCGCGTCAAGCTGTAGAAGAAACAATGATGCTGAACAAATATCAGAATTATTTACAACACCAAAACCAACATCAGCAGACTTTGCAACAGCAGCAACAAAGTTGCGGCGGTATAGCCACAACCATGGCAACCAGTGTTGGTTCATCTGAAGCCGTTTCAACCGATTATGGCACAAATGCTGCTAACATTTCGAAATTAGAGCGAGAATCAATACACTCAGGTCAATTTATGGTTTCTCACTTTGAAGCCGAAGAGGCGCAGGAAGATGATCTTGAAGAGGATGACGAGGTAAAAATGATTGATCCAGAAGATCCCAGCCTTGCAAAATCAGAGGAGGCGGTAAATACTTGTACTGATGTGCAGCGATTTGTGCCACGCAAAATATCGCACATTCAAGAGCCAGGCCATGTAGGATCCGTCGTAGCTTCGCATTTGGAGATCGAAACCTCACTCACAAAACTTTTTAAATGCATGAATCTGGCTTACAGGTAAGTAAACAAACGCATTACTTTACTAAGTATATGCACATGGTATACATATGTATATGTTCATATTCATGTACCCATGTGAATACGTCAGTGTTGATTTAGATTATTTCTTGTTGTGATTATTGGTTTCTGTTACTTATTCTTAAAATATACATATGTAAATAAACCGCTCTTGCGTCAGCAGGTAATTTTCGTGCGGTTCCAAGAAGTGATACCCCAAACTAATGCCGCAGTATCTGTGTGGTTAGAGGTGCGTACTACCACTTCGCAGGACCTGGCTTCGAACCCTGATCCAAGCAACATCTAAAACAGAAAACGTTTTTGCTACCAGCGCACAGTGGTTGCATTTATATGGGGAGAGCGGCCAAAAATACTTATAATGGACATATCGGGATAAAATTTTCACCCTAAGGTCTGTTAAGAGTAAAAACTGTAATATGTAAAAGTGGGTGGGGTTGGACACGTCCACATACAGTCATGTGAAAAATAATAGGTACACGACATTGTGACCAGTTTCGGCTATTTTTGTTTTTTATGTTTGTTTAATGTTTATTTATTTTTATAAAAATAAAACTCACTATCTAACAAAAACCACATAAGACCAAATTTCAAACTTTATAAAAAAAGTAGAAAAATTCAACAAAATTTTAAAACAACGCAAACCTTTTTAATAAGAACTTTTAGAAAAAATCTAGGTGTGTAGTTTTAAAAAATTGCGTTGATTGTTGATAATTTTTTTTTGGCGAATGGTGTTACTATTTGCTTCTATAAAAAAAAATTGTCAAACATATTTGAATGGAAGTACTATTTAAAAAGTTTGGTGTTGTTTTAAAATTTTGTTGAATGTTTCTATTTTTTTTACAAAGATTGAAATTTTTTTTTTGTTAGATAGTGAGTTGTTTTTTTATAAAAAAAAAATTTTTATAAAAAAAAATAAACATTAAACAAACAAAAAAAAAAAAGCCGAAACTGGTCACAATGTCGTGTTCCTATTATTTTTCACATGACTGTATGTGGGCGTGTCCAACCCCGCCCACTTTTACATATTACAGTTTTTACTTTTAACAGACCTTAGGGTAAACATTTTATCCCGATATGTTCGCCGACGCTTAGTCTTTTTGAAGACTCAACAAAATCTATTTTCGGGCGCCACGATTTGAATTGGTGGAAACTGTTGGTTGACATTTTAATGAAATGATATCTTTCTTTTCGAGCCAATTATAATGAGTTCAAAACTGCTGATTTTTGGCGTTTGGGTCTTTGCCAAAACAATGCAAATTTTTTACAAACGTAATTAATACATTTTTGCAACTCATACCGATCTGGCTCAAAACCCTCATATTCAATATCTTTCGCTATTGCACCCAGCAAATTTTGAACATTTCGGGAATGCGTACCGAAATTTTCACGCCAAATCTCAAAAACATGCAATCGACAAAATTCGCAGTGTTAACTTGTGCCTAGAAACATTTTGAATCAGAAAATTAGATACATAAATCAAGAAATAAACATGAAAAAATCTGTAGAAAATGAAGAGCTTGGATTAGGTTATGGAATAGTACGCGAACCTCTGCAGGTCAATGCATCTACACTGAACCCTTAAATAACCTTAAAATATTAACAAACAATATGTAAATAAAAATATTGAGGGCCGATAGGGGAAACACACTTAAAACATTACCTAAATCCTTGAAAGACGAACCATGAAACACACAAAATCCTACTTTTCTAAAACAACGATTTGCATAGAACACAACACGAACTATCTAAAAGTTTAATTGTAGAAATAAAATCAATACCTTTATGTACAATATCCATTGCATACAATTTTAACTCACTCGGCTTTTCACAATATTTTAATTACGATAAATCCAATTCAATTTTCAGCGTGCAAATAAAATGAACAATTGATGACACTTTTGTTACTTTTTTCAGAAACAACCGTTAGAATTAAAACAAAAAATATATATGACAACATGAAGTTTGGACAAAAAAGTGATTGCAAAGCCTATTTTGGTTCAAAAATTTTTACAAACATTTTTTTAATTTTGGCCTATGGCAGCGACGACTGTGCAGCGGTCGCCCCTCCGCAGGCAATGGCAAACCCCCGAGTGTATTTCTGCAATGAAAAAGCTTCTCGTAAAATCCATTTGCCGTTCGGAGAAGCTCGGCCAAACACAAGGCAAAAGTGTAAGCGCCAAAATATTATTATTAATGGTTAACTTGCTGTTAATAAATGAAAAAATATTATAGCGTCACCCTTATTTGAGTTATTGGGTTGATTTGATTAACCTTTCGATGTTGTATGTTATACCGAAACTTTGAATACCATGCGTACTCGGAAACCACAATATTTTGCAATGTCAATTACATGAATGTAGAGGTATAGAAGAAAAAGTCTAACTTGTGCAACCTAGTTGAAAATTAGTATATAGTACTTATAACCCTTTTTAAACAAATTTTGAATAGACGCGATCTACAAAAATATATATTTATATTTATTTTTTTTTTAAGTATTTCTGGCTTAAAATATAAAATTCTTTCTTTTTTATATTTTATTATGCACACCAAGTGAAAGACCCATTAATAACACATGAGTAACACTCTTCTACTCTAAAAATTTGTGTCTAATGGGCTGATTAATTTTAAAACCTACTTGAGAAAATGTCCCTTAGCTACTGATCATGTATTTTGTATAATTTTGCAGCTTATATACATATGTATACTAAATTTTTGATTATTGATATTATTCAGAACTGCGGCCAAATCTTATTTTGAGTGGCGATTTTTTGCCATTTTTTATGTAAAATAAAATTATAATCGTTTAATGTAAAGGGTGAACACACCAAAACTGCGACACTTTGGGAAGCTTATAACTTACCCAAAACGAATTCGATATTTTGAAATTCAAATACCATAAGCTGACCACATGGCCTTAGTTGGACGTAGAAGAAATTTCATTTGAATTTGATTCCTAGTTGAGTTAAAAATGGCAACCGAGTTAGAAACGAGACAAACCATTTTGCACGAGTTTATAAATGATCCGGCCATAAGTACACGTAAAATTGCTCAAAAATTAAAGAATGCACTATTCGACAGTTTGCAGGGTTTTAATCGGTACAAATAAGGCCTGGCAGTTACGAGAAAACCAGGGAGCGGGGGTTAGCATAGTCAAAGTGATAAAAACAGTGCTCGGAAGGTCCTCAGTGCGTTTTCGCGAAATCCGAAGATTTTGTCGCGTTATGTTGCAAAACTCGTACGCAGATCGCAGTTTTTCGTACAAAAGGTAAAGCGGAAAGCTTCATTGAGATGTTCTACAGCTCAAACAGCGCCAGACCGAGGCGCAAAGTAGAATGTTACAGCGAAATCCCGCATTCGGAAGTTGTATGAATTCTTAAATAAAAAATACAACTGCATTGTTATGGACTACGAAACCTACTGCTATAAAAATTCAAAATATATTGCAGGTCAAGATTTTTATACTGGTGCAAGTCGTCAAGATGCCCCTGAAAGTTGTAAGCTGAAAATGAAGTCCAAATTTCCAAAAAACCACATGGTTTGGCAAGCTATTTGATCCTGTGGCCGTAAGAGCAGCCCTTTTTCCCACCCGGGACAATGAATGATCAAGTTTATCGGGATGAGTACCTCAAAAGGCGTCTTCTGTCGTTTATCAACAGATAAGGAGTAGGCCACTGTTCTAGGCGGACATGGCAACCTGCCACTATGCCAAGGACACATTGCCGTGGTATAATACGTGTGTCAAGTTAGCACTACACTTTTGGAAAAGTTAACTACGGCATTAATTGTAGTGTTTTTGTTGTAAATTTGTTGTGGAAAGAAAAAATTTGTAGCTCTCGTTTTTTAAGAA